AAAAAAAAAAAAAAAAAAAAAAAAAAAATTCCCAAAGAAGGCAATGCATAGAGACTGTCGTGAACTAAGGAGCATATACCCACCTCCATTTATCCAGATGAGAGATACTTTCCCCATTTAAAAGAGTATCTGTCACTCAACTCCAGTTACTGTCATCCAGGAATGTTGACCCAGCGTTGCTAGATCTTCTAGTTACTCAAGAGAATCTAGAGATCTGAACTTATGTATAAACTCTTCCAATTTTTACATAGTGGCAGCCAATTCACATTTTTTAAATGCTGTGCAGCCAAACAAAATATGTCTGTTGTCTGAATTTAGCCCATGGAACACCAGTTTGACCAGCTCTAGTCTAGTGAAAAGGCATGAGCTTAAGAGTCGAACAGAATTCGATTTGTATCCTAACTTCCCCCATTCTGCACTGCTAACAGTATTCAGGGAACTCTTAGCATCTGGTATCGTTTTAAATGCATCTCTCTCATTCAGCCTCTGTTTTCTGGTCAGGCACAAGCTCTACCAATTTTTTCTTCAAGAGTTTGTTCCAAACCGGGCGCGGTGGCTCATGCCTGTCATCCCAGCACTTTGGGAGGCCAAGGCAGATAGATCACTTGAGCCCCGGAGTTTGAGACCAGCCTGAGCAACATGGCGAAACCTCATCTCTACAAAATTTTTTTTCTTTTAATTAGCTGGGCATGGTGGTATGTGCCTGTGGTTCCAGTTACTTAGGAGGCTGAGGTAGGAGGATCACTTGAGCCTGGGAGGTCAAGGTTACTGTGAGCAGTGATAGTGCCATTGCATTTTAGCACTCCAGCCTGGGCATCAGAGTTAGACCTTGTCTCAAAAAAAAAAAATTGTTTTTACAGCAGCATTCCCTTCATTCTACCCACCACCCCCATCTCCACTGGCAAAACCAACCACCCCAGCATACCAAAGAGCACACCACTCTTCAGGAATAAGGTGCTCATTTCCTCAGCTGCTGGGCATGTTACTCGCCAACAGCTATCAGCTAAATCCCTTTCCCGGAGTTGCCCTCAGCTGAAGAGAGCTGCCTGTCACCTGGTCTGTTTGACCGACTGGCAGATGCAGGGCTCAGGGTGGGGCTGCTCTGAAGGGCTCTCCAGGCTCTAGCGCTCCCTGTGGATCTGGAAGCTGAGGCTTTTGCTGTGACTACCTTCAGTTCAACTTCTCTTTCTGCTCAATCCTGCTCCTTTCTTTCTTGTTTTTGTTTTTGTTTTTTTTTTTTTTTTGAGATGATGTCTCACTCTGTCACCCAAGCTGGAGTGCAGTGGCACGATCTTGGCTCACTACAGCCTCCACCTCCTGGGTTCAAGTGATTATCCTACCTCAGCCTCCCAAGTAGCTGGGACTACAGGTGCGCACCACCATGCCTAGCTAATTTTTGTATTTTTAGTAGAGACAGTTTTCACCATGTTGGCCAGGCTGGTCTGGAACTCCTGACCTTGTGATCCGCCCGCCTCTGCCTCCCAAAGTGCTGGGATTACAGGTGTAAGCCACTGCACACGGCCTAATCCTGTTCCCTTCCTGCACGATGTTGATCCCAAGGGCAATTAAGTCCCATGAGTATGGCCAGATGCGTTGGCTCAGGCCTGTAATCCCAGCACTTTGGGAGGCTGAGGTAGGTGGGTCTCTTGAGCCCAGGAGTTCGAGACCAGCCTGGCCAGCATGGTAAAACCACATCTTTACAAAAAAAAATAAGAAAAAAGAAAAAAAAAAAAAAAACAGGACATGGTGGTGAGCAGCTGTGGTCTCAGCTACTCAGGAGG